TGGGGCAGCACCTGCTGCCACCGCAGCTGCAGGGAGACCCTGACTTCGGGGGAGTGGAAGGAATATTGCAAGCAATGTCAGAATTGCAAAACTGGCTGTGGGCTGGGATGCGGAGGCTCTGGGGGGGATGGAGATGCAGGACCCCTGGGATGGTGAGCGGTTTGCAGCAGCGAAGCCGATGGCAGCCCGCTCTCAGCTTGTCCCCGCAGGGTTACTAGGCAGGCGGTTGTCTTTGGCCCTGAGTTATGCAGAGAGGCCAGGCTTGGACAGCCCTTATCCCCTCGTGCTCACTGTCCTCTGTGCCAGCAGTCATGGGACTGGGGCGCGGGGGGAACTCCTACCACTGCCCGGGTGAGCAATGTGGAGATGACTTCTCAGGCTGCTGGGGTCGTGGTGAGCCGCTTCCTCTGCACCGACCCGCCCGTGCACCCTGTGGTCTGAGAGATGCTGTGGATGGGGAAGTGACATGGGGACATGAGCCATGAGCACGCTGCAGCGGGGATGTCCGGGGGGTATTTGCGCAAGGGAAGTGAGGCTTGCTTCCTAGTGCTTGGATTTTTCCTGGAAACCATCTGTCCTTGCTTGACAGTCTTTTTATTGGGCAGTTGTCATTTTCCCAGGTTGTCTTCCCTCTTTTTTGGGTAGACAGAAAGCTGTGTGTGTGATTGCAGTGGGAGTGCTCAGTTTGACACTGTACCCGTAGTCACCTCTTAACCTGTGTGTGCCAAGGACTCAATTTTGGGTGTGCTTGAAATGTTGTATGGAAAGAGGGAAGAAGGATGATGCTGGAGGGGGTGTGCTGATAGTGCAACCGCCTCCCAGTAACCTCATGGTGTTGGGCTGGTGTCTCAGAGCTGGGGCAGTGGGGCATCCTGGAGGGGGTGGTGCAGAGATGGAGCTGCCCTCCTTAGCTTGCCATCTGCTTCTCATTATGCAAACAAGGCACCACCCCGGGGCTCTGCTGAGCTCCAGTGTGGCCCTTGTGGGTTGACCCAGTTTTGGGTGCTGCCTGGTTATTTTTGGGGGGTGAGCTGAGGTCTTCCCTTGAAGCAGCTGGTGGGTCCCTGCCCACTGCTGTCCCCTAACTGCTGTGGAGCAAGGAGGCTGGGAGCTGTCCCTCCTGCCACAGGCCCATGGGAGATACCCAGCACCAGCTGGGATCCAAGCACTGGAGATCCCTAAGGCAGGCATGGTTGTGGGACAGTGCAGCCGGTGCAGCCAGTGCAGCCCAACCAGGATAGCATTGAACTACACATCCCTGGCAGCCAGCTGAGCTCTCATTTTTTGAGGATTATCTGGCTGCCCAGTCACCACTGTATTCCCTGCAGCTCTCTTCCCTGTCCGGAAACTGGCTGGCCTCAGGCGTGAAGGCATCAGGACGTGTCTCCATTGGGAATCTGCTCCCCCCTGGAGCTCGTGCTTGCTGCAGCTTGTTTATTCTCTCCCACGGAAAGCACAGCTGAACTGGCCCCACGTCTGGCTTCTTTGGCTTCTCCACTTTAATAATAATAATAATAAATAAACTCTTCATGCTAAATGGGTCATCCCCATCCCTATGCAACAGGATGCGATACTTCTCTCCTGTCCTGGGGAGGGTCAAGGGGCTCCCCTGCAGCCCCCCTGTCCTGCCGAGGGTAGGGAGATGGGGATGCTTCAGGAGACCAGATTTGGCAGCCCATGGAGGTACCCCCTTTGAGTAGGGCTCTCTTAAAGCTTTGGAGAAAGATGTTTTGGTGTGTTTACAACCCTTGGTGTGTCTGGGCAGTATGACCCAAAAATAGATGCTGTGGCGAAGGGGAGCTGCTGATTTGGGGCTTTTTGGGAATTTCCTTGTTGCCTGCTGGTTCTCTTCCCATCACAAAAGCCCACATGTGTCAGCCTCTTGGGTATGACGCATGACCTGATCGTGGTCCACGTGAGCTAGAAGGAGAAGCTATCAGGCTCCCTGCCTGCTCTGCTGGTCCCCATCCCTTTGGGTCCTTTCATATCACCCTCTGCTTAGTGCTCAGGGTAAGCAGTTCTGGCTGAAAAGGGGCCCTTTGTGTCTCAGTGTGTGAAATCTGGCTCCCGGAGCACCCAGGAGGGCTCGGCTCCCCTCGTGACCCCGCTGCTGGCTATCCTGCTTACTGCCCGCCACTTGACAGGCTTTTATTGGGTGAAGGAGGCAGATTTGGGGTGTGGAGCCTGCCCTGGCCCCGGTGGTGTCAGCCAGTGACCCTTGAGGACTCCTGAGCATCGACCCTATCGCAGCCCCTGGAAATCCTCTCCTGCCCATCTTGCTGCCTCTCCCCAGCTGGCTGCACGGCACAAGGGCCTTTTGTTCCTCCTGCCTCTTCCCTCTGCCTTCTCCCGCTCCATCCCCATCCCTATCCCATCTTCTGGGGACCCCTCGCCCCCTCCCCATGTGCACAGAGCCCCCCTGGGCACCTGCGCCCAGCCCCGGGAGGGTGATCGCTCCTCGGAGCATGCGTCCGCGCCTCTCCCCAATCAATGGCAGTAATTTTATTGGCATGA